ATTATGTTTGAGGTTTGCTGAAGCGACTAATGAAAGAATCTACCATAAAGTGGGCAACCAAGGGGGGTTTATACATGGGAATATTTTCATGAGAAATACAAACAATCTTACGGTTCCTCAAAACCCACTAAATTCTTGCAGGAAAGAGGCTATGACAGGTACCTTGTATCTCGTTCTTAATCCAATAATGATCATCTTGGATCAAGAAGAAATCTAGAAGATTAAATCAAATGTGTAATCAAAAGTTTATGGAATTCATACAGTCATGAACAAAGTGGAGAAAAGTCTCCTCTTTAAGCCCACATCTAGAGCACAAAGTCGAGGGGGGTTATATTTCGATGGTGAAGAAAACAAGGGTGTGAATAGACTCGTGACAAGCAAATCAAAATAAGAACTTTATCTTTTCTAGGAAGATTAACTTCCAAATCTAATTCCATGATTGAACAACAGTGATATAATCATGAAATTATTCTTAGTTGGAAAGGATCCAAAAGTAGCCACTCTTAGCAGTGTAAGTACCATTTATGTGACTAGAAGAAATGAAATACATCTTTTGTTTTGGGGTTGAAGTTGAGACTTTTGGAGGTGATCTTAGTGGCAACATGGGAAGGGAGCTGAGTATACAAGTGTTGAATGTGGGGAGGTGATGTAGAGTAAAATCTTTGATAATTAAAACAGTGTCATGTATGTTAACATAATTAACTAGAGAAGCCATTGGGAAAGAAAAGACTAGTGATTGTACTAAAAAATTGAGGATGTTGATCCCAGCCTCCATTCAAACCCATCTTTTAATATATCCTTGCTTTGATGATAGAGTTCCAAGTGGAAGAACCTATTGTAGAAGGAAAAAAATAGTAAATAGGCACTAGACAAATACTTTTGAGAAAGAAAACATTACAACTGTTATCCGCCAATTAACCAACCGACAATAAGTTGGAAGCAAATCTTGGTGATACGCGCACGTCACAAAAGTTAGAGTTTATGTCACCAAAATTAGTGATAAATGGTTTAGTCCCATCAGCAATTTGAATTTGTTGATTACAAGTATAAGAATGTAAATTGTGCAAGTATTTAGATGAATCTGTCATGTGATTAGATGCATCAGAATCAAGAAATCATGGTTGAGAAACATTAGAAGACTTGCCTTGAATTCCTAAGGCAGAAAGAACATAAAGTACAATTTGTTGAATCATTTCAGGTTGTAGAACACCACCATTAGACACACCAGTACTGAGAGGACTAACTGCAGAGTTGGTAGTGGCATAGAATGCCTGGGCTGGATGTTGTGTTGGTCAGGGAGGAGCTGTGGGACAATCAGAGATGATATAACCTTGTTGTTTGCAATAGTTGCAAAACTTCTTAATCCATCTGGGAGCAAAATGTCTAAATTATTTTCAAGAAAAAATGGACTTGTCTCATATCGAACCTTTCCTCTACTCTGAGCAGCATATGCAATCGCCACAAGCTCAGATGTAACAACATCATGAGACATGATGTCTTGAGAAAGGAGATGCTGCTCCTCTTTAAGGAGTTTTCCAACACAAGTATCCAAGGAATGAACAAGATTCCTATTCAGTAAAGCTCCTCTGACAACCTTAAATTTTGGGTGAAGCTTCACGAGAAATTGACCCCGCCCACTTATATTGTAGACCTATTGAATAACTGTGAGAGAAATCATGGGAACATCAACATGTATAAGAGAAGAGTGTTTTGTCCACATATTCAAAAAACCAGAATAATGTTCTTGAACAGACACGGTACCTTGTTTGTAATTAGATATCTCTAACTCTAACTAAAAACACTTGGTCGCGTTGTTCTTATTTTAATACGCTTCAAATAGTTCCACATTTCTTGAGCAGTGGAAAAGAAAAACAATTTATTAATCATTTTAGGATCAATACTACTGAGAATCCAAGTGAAACTTGAGCATCTTTATATTACCACTTTTCTAAAATAGTTTTTTCTGTCATGCCTTAGAGACACCGTCCAAGTGACACCATAATTTATTTTCTTCGACATGCATTTTGAAATGAAATTCCCAAGCAAGATAATTCTTTTCGATAAACAGACAAAAATGTGATCTCCTTCTTTTCGAAATCCATAAAAGCAATATTGACAATAACAAATATGATTTGAGAAGAAAAATAGGCACTGTTTTTAATTGATGGAGAAATCGAACGGGCAAAATATGATCTTTTGTTTGGATGCAAAATATTGTTATTTAGAAATTAAGGAAGGTATACCACAGGTTGTCAAAAGGGCATGATCCTTAAACGTGGCTGGGATTGTGTCAAAAAAGATTGTTAAGGCCATCCCTTCTCAATTAAAAAAACTCTTGGTTCTAACTGCCAACAAATCTCATATTTTATAGTCATTTTCCATAGTTTCATGTCAACAATTCTTTCTTTCTTTTTTATCAACGTGATAAAAATAGCACACACGAGATAAAATACTTACCGACACCAAATCACAATACTTGTTAACAATGATACGAGAACACAACCAAACAGAACACAATTTGGGACACAAGGAGGAACAATGAAATTGGAACTTGTGAGCATTATCAATAACGGATCCTAGAAATGATTGTAAGCACCAGAGATCACAATCGCAAGCCTAAAAGAGATTACTGAGAAACAAGATCTTCTGAGATGATTTCAAAAGGCCCAGTGAGGTGTCGCTTAATGAAGCCAAGATTAACCTAAAACTCACAAGTTTGACCGAAAACCTACTGATACCATGCCAATAATTTTTGACTTCTTGCTTTTCTCATTGTTATTCCTTGTAATATATATATGTTACATGACTATACAAATAATTATACCGACTAATTATGTTTAATGAGAATAATCAATTTATGATTTATTTTCCTTATTCTAGGAACAAACTAATAAATATAATTAAGAGAATGAATCAATTTTTTATTCATAAATACTTCAAGTTTAATTTGGTTTAAAATTTTAAGATCTTATAAGAAGTTGAATAAGTACATGAATGATTATGTTTCAAGTAATGCAAAATGTTAAATATATTTTTTTTAATGTTCTAATTATTTTGCAGTTGTTAACTTTATTAGAAAGTTAATCCTTTGTTGCGTTAATAAGGAAAGTTGAGTTTTCTTTGATGTTTTGTTGTTGAATTTTTCTTGAGCTAACATGGTAAATTAATGATTGTAGTGAGAAATTTGACAACGAGAATTTTGTGCTGAGTTCCCTTTTGGTTGTTTTAATCAAAGAGAGATGAACTCATGATATAAATAAAAAGATTAGGTAAAAAAACGAGAGGGACTAAAGGCAAAATCTCAGACCTAGCAAATACTAAAACTAGGAAGACCTAGTTTGTTTCTATTGAAATCCACCACTACATTGGTATGTATATCATCCCACCACAATAGTTAGTAACTAATAAATCTAAATTAGCTAACTTATATGCACAATGATTACCTTATCTGAAAATATGCGTTGACAAAAAATGAATATGTTGTAACGTTTGATTACAGTAGTTCCGTCTATTCATTAGCCTCTAAAGCACCATAGATGGTTTACTGAACGCAAACACAACTAATTTAGAATCTGACTCCAACCAAAATATAGTACAACGATGATTAATAACAGGCTCCATGGCTAGGATTTCTCCCATAAGCTCAACAAAAAGAGTATTTACTTGACCAATGTTACAAGCAAAACTATCCAAATGTTACTAAAATGGTTTCTAAGAATTCCCCCACAAGATGCCCGAAGAGATGTTCCACCTGATGCACCACCTATGTTACCTTTGATTCAGTTTTTAGGGGGATGATACCATAACACTTCTGTACAGATTTGCACTTTAGTAGCATGAGTTTCGACTCTTAAATTTTTTAAGACAACAAAGTTCTGTATAGATGAATTGGCCATCTTGAAAGTAAAATTGTCTGACAATAAGGTTAAAGGAATAATGGATGAGCATGTAAACTTCTATATTTGAGGAAGTCTTGAAACCGAGCTAAATTTCTAGCATCCCAGATACTGTAGACAGTGTTGAAACTGCAACAATTATCACAACTCAACATTGCAAAGAACCAAAAGTAACAATATCCACAACTCTTTAACAATCCTCTAGACATCTGATAGGAAGACCTCGGTTCAACACGCTGCAAGGTCTCACAGTCAAAGGAGCACATACTGCAACAAGATGGTGTATGCAGGTCTCTCAACTACAAGTTGTTGTTAGTTGATAATTTCTCAAGCAGCATCTTCTAAAACATAATGGATTTAATGACGGAATCGTAAAATTCCAAATGATCTCTCCTTATACATTAGCCCGATGAGCACTAGAAAGGTGGTCATAAACTACTCTAACATATAACTATACATTAGTCTACTTAGTTAAAGTTTTAGATTAATGTATTTTCTTAAAAATATTTAATTTTTTTAATGTAAATTCTATTGTTTTGGATAATTTTAAAAATTTATCAAATATTTTATTCAAATAAATTTATAAAATTTAAATAACATTAGAAGATAAAAATTTTGAAATTTTTTATTTACTTTTAAAATAAAAATATTAAATGAATTATTATTAAGTTTTTAAATTTTAAAAATTGTATTTTTAATTTTTTTAAATTGTCAATCACTGAGAAATGTGTATCCCATCACATCACACTTTTATTTTTAAAAAACTATTATAATTTAACACTTTTATATATATATATATATATATATATATATATATATATATATATATATATATATATATATATATATATATATATATATATATATATATATATATATATATATATATATATATATATGTGTGTGTGAGAGAGAGAGAGAGTGAGAGATATTTCTTTACGGCGTGCACTACCTTAAAATTTTTTAAATTCATCATTTCCATTAAAAAAAGGAGCACAAGTTAACCGGATAAAAAATAAATAAAAATGAGGAGGCACACACACCAGAAACGTCAACGATCGAAAGAGGAGGCGGTGCCACTGGCAAACTGACAGAACTCGAATCATGACAGGCATATCAGTTACCGGTATCATTACGTACACGCTCACTCCGACAATCTCTTCATTCACGCGCTTCTCACCCACTTTTTTCACTTCTAACTTTCGTCTTCGAGCTGCTTCTTCTTCTTCTTCTTCAACCACATTTCTTGACACCAACCCAACACTGGTAAGTAATATTGCTTCTTTCTCCTATTCATTTCTCAACTTCATCAAAAAAACACTTTAATTAATCGATTATTGAGCGTGGTTTTGTGTTAAGGATTCCGTCGTAGTTGAGAAGGAAGTTACTCGGAGCAGCAATCCCTTGGCTTGTCCCGTATGTTACAACTCGTTAAATTGGACAACTCATCATGCTTTGTCCATGTAAGTTGTTGATGTTCGTAATCGATTCTCGCCTTCAATCGTTAGCTTGTGTTTTGTTCTGCAATAGAAAAATTGAGTTAGATAAAATAATTTGTGTTGTGATATCTTCATGCGAAATTGTGTTGAACCCTAAATTTGAGCCTAAAAATTACATTTAAAGGTAAATGCTACAAGTCATAGCTTCTTTATAGTCAATTTTAGAAATAAAATGAGTTATAGTTAGTTAGTGTATCTTTGGTTGTTCGGTGAGAAGAATTGACTTAATAATATAAAAGTGAGTTGAACTATATATTTCAGTCTAAAAATTATGTTTAAACTTAAAAAGCTACAAATCTTAACTTCATGTTAGATAAGACAAAACCAATTATACCGAGAAGAAACTAACATGTCAAAATCAATTTTATAAATTTAGAATAATTCTACCAGAGTGCTTCAAACTTTGAACCAAATATGCTAACCCCAAACATACCAAAGTTAATTCTAAGTCTTCATAATCACTTTTGGCTATTCCAAAAGTGAATGGAAACATGTACCTAATGCATGTATGGTATCATGGTAGGTTTCTTAAAATCAATGTGTGTTTGACTACTTTTGTTTTAATGTATGTATTCACATTCACATGTTGTTACGTTTGTTAAATGACTTATATTTCTTCATTGGATTGGATATTTGATGCAGAGATACTATCCTTGGATGTAGTTTACAATGTAGAACCTGTCAGAAAGCATATGTTGGTAACCAAACACATCTTGATCTTACGGCAATAAGCAGTGCTAAGAACTATGGTGAATCCATGCCAGCTTCCACTGAGCTTTTCAGGCATGCACGTTCCCTATTTTTGTTTTCATTTTTTTCCTTGATATGAAATGTTATATATTCACTGAGCTTTTCATATCAATAGTTTGTTATAAAATGATACACTGCTGCTGAGCAATATAATTTGTTGTCTAAATGTTGTAAACTTGAATTATTAGCTCATTTGCCACTTCATGCGTAACAATTATTTGTTGAATCAGGACGCCGTTGATATCATTTCTCTATGAGAGGGGCTGGCGTCAAACCTTTTCTGTATTGGGTGGTTTTCCAGGTCCCGAGAAAGAGGTTAATTAAATGTCTCAGTTTCTAATGGCATTTCCCTCTTGTTGGACCCACATTTTTTTTCTCAATATGGTTTCCTATGAATAAATTAGTTATTTAATCCTTTACCTTCCACTTTCTTTAGTAGGGATATTATACAATTGGAAGAATTGTGATTATTGAATTTGTTATATAGGTTTGTTAAGAGTTTAGAGGAGCATCTTAAACTGATTCAATAATCCAGAACTACTTATGCTAAGCAGCTTATCAGATGACCAGGTTGTGCCTTAACTTGTTAGCATTTGTCACTATAAACTAAAAATTGAGCTTATCGACCTAAGCTGAAAGTAATTTATGTGAGCTCCGTAAGCTATTTTTCGTTAGTACATCCAGCTCCAAAGTAGCTCATATAAGCCCCTACTTAGATCATGGGTGTCTTGAGAGCTATACCATTCAGTTTGTTTTGATTATCATTTGGTGGTTGATTAGAAAAACATGAACTTGGAAATGATGTTGCAATAACTGGCTTTCCTTTTCATGTGTTGTAATAACTATACATGCCTTTTGTTGAATTTGACTGCAGTTTGAAATGATGAAGGGTTTCCTAAAACCAATATTGGGTGGAAATATCATTGATGCTAGTTGTGGAAGTGGATTGTTTTCAAGATTATTTGCAAAAAGTGGACTTTTTTCTATGGTTGTGGCTCTGGACTACTCAGAGAACATGTTGAGGCAATGTTATGAGTTTGTTCAGCAGGAAGATAACTTTCCAAAAGAGTACACAAATTTCTGAATCAATTTGAACTTTATCATACCAAACTTTTGAACTCATGTTTTAATAGAGCTGTTCAAAACAAATATGTTATTCATTTTACATTTATATTTCATATACATTTCCATTGCTAGGAACTTCATCTTGGTTAGAGCAGACATAGCTAGACTTCCTTTTGTTTCAAGTTCTGTTGATGCTGTGCATGCAGGAGCAGCTCTCCACTGTTGGCCTTCACCATCATCAGCTGTAAGCAAATAATCATTAATTAATATTTGGAATTTTTACAAAAGTACTAGTATTTATTTATATGAGTATCTTTGGAAATGGTTTGTGACAAATAGTTTAACCATGGAATCCCAAAAGATTTATGCAGTATTGTATCGGCAACTATGAAGAACATGTTTCATGCTTTTAATGATGATAACCAATTTTGATTATAAACTGCTTATGCAATGTTAACATAATATATTAGATAATTTACTTCAGTAGATTTACCGCAGTTCTTTTGCATAGTTTCGTCATATGGTCATGAGCATCATCATTCCGTTTAGCATGTTTCACTTCCTTTCCTCCATTGTTTACACGACTGATTTTGCAGGTAGCTGAAATAAGCCGTGTTTTACGGCCTGGAGGTGTCTTTGTTGCAACCACCTACATACTGGATGGCCCTTTTAGTGCTGTCCCATTTCTAACTACATTTCGCCGGGTATAAAACTTTTGTCCAAATTTGGCATACTTGTTTGAATTAATACCCTGAGTGAGAGTAACCAAAGCTACTCTGAGTAGTAGATAAACTCTAAGTTATTAGAAAAATGAGCCAACCCATGAAAGTACTTGAGAATATTTTGACATCAGTTTAGCCTCTGAAAAATGATGAGTGATGTTACTTTCAGTTCTTCAAAGAAATTGATAGCAATTAAGTAGTTCATGTTAGCTCTGTCCATCAACTATAGGAAATAATAACAATTAAGTCTCATTGTACACCGAAAAAAGATTTTGATATTACTCACCATGATTGTGAGGCTAAAATAATATCACCCGTCCTTCAAGCACCAAAGTGACACCAACTCAGGTTCAAAGTTGTACACTGTCAAACATGAAAATTTTAATGTTTACTTTATAAAAGTTTTATTAGTTTTTTTTTATTTTTTTTTTATTTTTTTTATTTTTATTTTTTTATTTTTTTATTTTTTTCAGTTCTATCAAGTTTTGAATAGTGGCCAATTTGTTTTGCATTTTAGAGTGTAAAGCAAGTATCTGGGAGTTGCATCTTTCTCTCTGAACGTGAACTTGAAGCTCTCTGCAAGGCGTGCGGACTGGTTGGATTTAAATGCATTAGAAATGGGCCTTTTGTGATGATTTCTGCTGCAAAGCCCAAATAAGGTTTGAGTTTCCTGGTGCTCTCTGTGCTGCCTTCAAAACATATTTTTCTTAAGTATACATGATCATTTTATTTAAATTGCTAGCACTTAAAAAAGCTGCATGTTGATCTGTTAAAATTGTGGTTTCACTAATACAAAAAGATAGCTTCATTTAGAAAAATGATATTTAGATATTTTTTTTGGTTAGATTATTCGCATATTATAAATTGGGAAGATCAGCACTTCACACCAAAAAAGTGTCGATTTCGAAAGATGGTGTAAGGAGTGTCCATTCATCATGATGTGTGAGAAATGTGAAGCCAAATTTGTTTGTAAATATTACAGCACCTCCATTTGACCCTTCTACTTAATTGGTTTGGTTTTGTTTTGTTTTGTTTGCATTTGATGTATCACATTACCTCATGACCATTCTGTAACTAGCAATAAGAGTAATAAGAATATGCTTCATCGTTCAACTAATTTAACTTAGCATATATAATCAAGGGAAATTCTTCCATCAAAAATCGGTAATATTAAAGCCTTTACTGTCTATTCTCAGTCTCACTCTGCTTGTGGAGTTAATGCTAAACATTTGATCAAATTCTGAAAATTTCCAGCGACTGAACATATTGATTACTTTATTAGCATTATAAGTATGTTTTAGCCTTATTAATAAGGGGAATTTTCAAACTATCCCAAGGACCTCTCAAAAATCTTGTCTGTATTCTCTTATGTTGACAGCCATTTCTATGTAATATTAAAGAAAAATAACATAAAAAAACATCATTTTCACGATTCATTCAAAGGGTACAAAACATGAATTTGAAATATGAAAACAAACATTGGAGCTAACTTATAATACTTTCTATCTTTAATTATGGAAATAATTCGAACATTAAAAATTACAAAAATGAAGCGTGGGAGGGGAAGAGGACGAGGGCGGCCCTTGCAAACGGTGCCCCCGTCACCGGTTGTCTCTACGGCAGTCACGACAATTCACGGTGCTTCTGTACAAGAAGATCATGCGGAAGTTACGGATATTGTCAATTCTGTGGATGAAAAGAGTCAATATGGAAACCTAAATTCACATGCAAATGATTGAATTGAGAGCAATCAAGAGAAGAAGTTTTGGGTAGATGTAATTAATGAAAATCGTAATCCTGCTAAGGGTTTAACCATAAAGTTTGTGGCATCTAAGGTGGTGATGGGAGAAATGGAAATTGAGATTGAAGAGGCAGACATTGAATATGAGGTCAAGTTCTGAGAATCAGCATTAATCATGTATGTCTTGGATGATGATTTAAGCATGAACACGGTTCAACAGTTCGTGATGAAGAATTGAAATTTTATGCAATTATCGGATTTGTTTTATAATGAGGAGGGTTACTTTATTTTAAGATTTCATTCCTTTCTTGAGAAGGATTCACGGCCGATGAAAGGGTCATACACAATCCATAATAGGCCTATGTTGCTGCGTGAGTGGAAACTGAATTTTTGTATGAAACGAGATATGCTGCAAACAATCTCTCTATGGGTGAAGCTTCCATAACTGCCGCTACACTTGTGGGGAACCAGAAGTTTGAGTAAAATTGAGAGTGCTATTGGTACACCTTTGCTAACAGATGAGTGCACGACGAATAAGCTTCATGTTTCTTATGCGCGTATTCTTGTTGAGGTGGACATTACATAAGAGTTGAAGAAGGAAATCATTATTCGTGATGCTATGAGAATAAGAAGGAGCCAACCAATTGAATATGAATGGAAGCCTCTGTATTGTGCGAAATGTCAGAAAGTTGGGCACAATTGTGATAAACCTAGGAAACCTGTAAGGGAATGGAGGCTAAAAGTTGATGAAACGAAGACTCTGGTAAAAGAAAACCCTGCAGAAATACATGAGAATAAGGAAGAGGCTAATGTGGCTGAACCAAAAGATGATAACATGGAATGGACCTAGGTCACAACCAGTAGAAGAGACAAAGGCAAAGGTGTGGTGCATGAGGGTAATGATCGAAAAAATAGCAAGTGTACTATTTTTGTCGATTATAGTTAAAATAGAGGTTTTATCCCCAGTATCGATCTCAAGGACTACGTAAGAGAATACAAGCTCTATAATAATTCAATTACCAAACCCCAAAGTACTTTTGTTTAATTGAATTATTATAGAGCTTGTATTCTCCTACGCAATCTTTGAGATCGATACTGGGGATAAAATTCCTATTTTAACTACAATCGACAAAAATAGTACACTTGCTATTTTTCCGATCAAGTTTTTGGCGCCGTTGTTGGGGACTGTCAAAATATAAACTTAATTTTAATTCAATTGAAATTTTGTTGCTCTGCGACTAAAATTTTATTTTCTGTTTTGTTTTTATATAAATTTCTATTATTACTAATAACTGTCTAATTTGTGTATGCGAGGAAAGCCTTCAACTGAATTTCTTTTTGACGCAGAACTAGAAAGATCGTTGCGCACTAGGCTCAGAAAAGCTAAATGAGAAAGACTGGCAGCGCCAAGTTCAGAATCCGTAATTCCCGAGCAAGAAAAAGAAGAAGTTTCGGTTCATTCCGAGCACTCTGATTCAGACACGAATACTGATACAAAGACATACCCAGAAACTTTTGTTATGGCTGAAATTCCACCAGTAGAGAGGTTTCTGGGTGACTATGGCGGAGCAAATGCTCCAACGAGACGGTTGACCATAGTGAATCAACCAGTCAACGTGGCATACTTTCAGTTGCACCCGACAACAATCCGACAACTTGAAAAGAGTCTGTTCACAGGAAAAATAAATGAAGATGCAAACAAACATTTGCAACGGTTTCTTACAATGAGCACCACGTTGAAGATCAATGAGCATTATAAAGAGGTAAAGAAGTTGCAGATGTTTCCATTCACTTTAGCGGAAGATGCCGAAGAGTGGTTTTACTCCTTACCTTCAGGAAGTATCACCACTTGGGAAGAAATGGAGAAGACGTTTCTTAATGAACTGCATCTGTCTACATTCGTAAAAGATATGATATCATGAATTTTAAACAGAAAGAGGGAGAATCACTGGGCGATGCTTATAAGAGGTTTAAACAGTTATTGGTTGCATGCCCCACTCATAACATGGATCAAACTGAACAAATGCAGGTGTTTGTAAATGGTCTCAAAATGAAGACTAAGCAACTCATTGATACGGCAGCCAGTGACTCATCAAACTTTATAACAATCACTGGTGTTAAGAAGATTATTGAAGTTATTGCTGCAAATGAGCATTTGAAGTTATATGACCGTAGCATGAGTAAACCTGAAGGGGTAATTGACTTGAAGCTGACAAATCAAGTTGTGAAAATGGAAGATCAAATCACAGCTGAAGTAGAACGAAGGCTTAAAGCAATGAATGTGAGTACTCAGAATGTTGCACAAGTTCAACCTGTCCAAGCGGTAAATTATGAGATTTGTGGAGGACCTCATTTTGCGATGCATTGTGTAACCACTGCACAATAAATTGAGGCGATTAATTTTCTGAAGCAGAATAATTCGTATTCCAACACCTACAATCCTGGGTGGAAGAATCATCCGAATTTCTCTTGGAAAGATCAACAAGGGAATGTTCAAAAACAGGGACAGGCTCAATACAATCAACCATAACAACAATAATACTCACAACAACAACAATACCAACAACTCTAATAACAATATCAACAGGCACCCAAGAAAGCGGATTGGGAGATTGCTATTGAAAAGATGGTTGCTCAAAGTTCTCAATTCCAAGAAGAGACAATAAGTAATCACAGGAACACCATCACTTTCATTAAAAATCTTGAAGTTCAAATGAGCTAGATAACACTGCAAATAGCAAACTCATCAGCACAAGGCGCTCTACCTAGTACGACTGTGAAAAATCTAAAAGATCATAATAATGTTAGCGCTGTGACAACCAGAAGCGGGAAATCCCTTGAAGTTCTTGAGGAAAAGTCTGAAAAGGAAGACCAACTGCTTGAACTAGATTTGGAGATCAAGGAAAATGAAATTGTTAATGAAGAAGTAGTTAAACCTAAATTGGTGGTGAAAGAGAAAATCATTGAACCAAACCCGTTCGTGAAGCTCCCATTCCCAACAAGAAACAAGAAAAAAGGGCAGCATGAGAAAAAATTTGAAAAATTCTTAAAGATGTTCAAGAAGCTTGAAATCAACATTTCATTCTTAGAGGCATTTGAGCAAATGCCTATATATATGCCAAGTTCATGAAGGACATCATCTCAAAGAAGCGAACCATTAATACCAACCCTATTATTCTAACCGAAACTTGTAGTGCTATTTTGTAGGGTATGAAGATTCTGGTGAAGAAGAAAGATCGAGGTTTCGTCACCATCCCGTGCACCATTGGGGATAGGTCATTCAAAAGAGATCTTATTGATTTGGGAGCAAGTGTTAGTCTCATGCCTTTATCCATCTACAAGAAATTAGGGATAAGAACAATGCAGGATACTAGGATGACACTTCAATTTGCTGACCATTCTGTGAAGAGACCTTATGGGGTTGTTGAGGATGTTCTTGTGAAGATTGACACATTTGTGTTCCCGGTGGATTTTGTGATTTTAGAGATGCCGAAAGATGAGGAGATTCCTCTCATTCTCGGGAGACCTTTTTAGAGACGAGAAGGTGTTTGATTGACATAAAGGAGGGTACCATGACGTTGAAAGTCTATGATGAGGAATTGAAAATTGATGTTCGAAACACCATGAAATACAAAGATGATGTTGACACTAGTCATACAATATAGGTGATAGATAAAGTGATTTCTCATGAGAATCCTCTGAATGCACCACAGTTACTGTTGGAAAGAGTGTTGAGTTTGTCCATTTTTTAAAGTGATCACAAAGTTGACGACAAAGAGTCAGAAGTGTTAGCCATGATGGAAGCACAACCTTGGTGAAAAGGATATAGATCACACCGGTGGGAAGACCTAAGGTAACCTCAGTTATCAGAAGAGAATAAAGAGACTAAAAAGGGGACGAAGTTGAAACAACTATCC